TGTTAGCTCAAAAAAAAAAAAAAAAAACCTGCAACAGTTTGCATCAATTGTTTTGAGTTATGATAATTTCAAATGAAATTATGTTCAACCAACAAACTACAATGAGTTAGAAGAACTTAATAATTTGTAACAAACACATAAAAAATAATGAAGTTGCTCCAACTAGTGGATTTGTGGGCCAGCAACCAATTTATATGATCTTTTTCAATTCAAATCCACAGCTATCATAGAACATGCTAAATGTGACTTATTTAACATGTTTAATGAACAAGTAACAAGAATACTAAGTCAGTGGCATTAGCGCAGTCATTGCCCATATACAACGGAGATCAAAATTAGAGAACAATCTACAATTTCCTAAATTTCAAGGTTTCACTGCTTAGTACTATTTGAAGTTATCCTAACAGGAGTAGAAGGACAGTTTTTTAAGCATATTTCATAAATTAATTGTATTCTGAAGCACAGTATAAAAAACTTAAATTAGATATTTGAAAAAGAACTCTGATCAAAATTAGAGAACACTTACAGATGCGTCCAAGTTATTGGTGTTAACCAGGCACCTGGTGCTAATTTCATTAATTATATGACAAACTCTAATTAACTGGAAACATTCCTCTAATTTTCACTGAGATTGCAAGATGGCGGGCCTCTCTAAAATGACTGAAAGCCTGTGACAGGAGGCGGTTCAGATGAAGGTCAAAGAGAGTGACACTTTCAGCCACTGCAAGAGAAGCTGGTCGTTCCAAATCTGTGATTTCTCAAATATTGCAGCTTTACAATGACACTAATGCATTCAAGTCCCCCAAAAAGGCTGGTCGTCTACATAAGACAAATGCACGAGAAGACAGGACAATGCTGAGAATCTCAATGGGGAATCGGTTCAGCACTGCAGCTGGAATTGCAGTTCAGCATTGAACAGGGTATGGATCTGTCTCGGCACGTTTAGGAGAAGTCAAACTGACTTCTAACCTTTGCTGAGGAGCATGTTGTGTGAAGAGAGGAGAACTGGTCCAATGTTCACTTTAGTGATGAGAGCAAGTTTAATTTATTTGGGTCAGATGGGAAACATTATGTTTGGTGTCAAACTGGGGAAAGACTGAACCCCGAGTGCGTAAAGAAGTCAGTGAAAGGTGGAGGAGGAAGTGTTTGGGGGATTTTTTCTGCAGCAGGAGTTGGGCCTCTTATACTGTACAGATACATGGCAGGGTTAACGCAAATGTTTGTCAGAACCTCCTTCAGCATCAGCAACATGCGGTACCTTTCCTGCAAGCATCTCCCAATCAGCCTACAATTTTCATGCAAGACAATGCTTTCATTACACAGCAGAACGGGTAAAGCAGTTCCTTGAATCTGAAAACATTGAAATAATGAAATGGCTGGCCCAGAGTCCTGATCTAAACCCAACTGAAAATCTCTGGAAAATCCTTGGCGACAAAGTTATGGCTAAGAAACCCACTGCAGGAAGAAGAGTGGACCAAGATCACACCAGCGCAGTGTGAGAAATTAGTGATGTTCTGCAGTCGCAGATGTGCTGAAGTCATTCAAAGCAGGAGCCTCTACAATTCCTTCTAATTTCTGACAGCTGTAACCCTCCCAAAATTTTATTTGTAATCTTCTTACGTTCTCTAGTTCTGATCACTGTGTTCTCCACAAAATAAAGGTTTTTGTTGAAATGCCTTGGTTATTTAGTCAAACATGTTAGTGGATCAGTGGTATACCTACAGCTAAAATTCCTTAAGCGATGAAGATTAAAGGGGTCATATGATGCGATTTCAAGTTTTCCTTTCTCTTTGGAGTGTTACAAGCTGATTGTGCATAGATAAGATCCCTGAAGTTGCAAAGACTAAAGTCTCAAAACCAAAGAGATCAAAGTCAGAAAAAAAAAATCAAGTATTTATAGATTGTTCTCTAATGTATGACCTCAATGTAGTGGTCTCTTCAGCACAATGGTAACCACAAAAACTTCAACATTTCAGAAGCTCTTTAAAATGTCAAAGCATTAAACATTAGCAGGTCTTTCCCTTTACTAAAAAAACAAACAAAAAAACAAACATAAAATAACACTTGATTTCAACATTTACTCTCCTATTCCAGTTAACAAGACAGTTTTATTGAGTTACTACAACTTACTTTTTAAAGAAATTCAAATAATGCATAAATTTGATCTCAGAAATATTTGATGAGAAGTATTTGGGTTCATACTGAGATCTCAGACATTTGATGGCAGACTTTGTCATGGCAAATCTGAGCACATTCTGAGATTTCTTCTCTGTGAGAGGCACGTCAGATTTTTTGATGTCCGTGTGGAGAAAATAAATGAAAGGAAAAACTTCTAGAGCAAAAGCCTCTGAAAATGTGAGTGGTTGCTGTTGTTTGTGCAAGGTTCAGAAAGGGTTTTTTTTCACACTGATGAAAGTGATCTTTCACAGTGATCTTTTTCACATAGAAGAACCATTCTTGGTTTCCCTGAGAACCTTTCATTTAACAGTTCTTGAAAGAACCATTTTTTATTATCCTGAACAGCGTTTTAATAATCTAATAATCTTTTCAACTATAAAAACAATCTTTAACCATCAATATGGATAAAGAAGCTTTATTTTTAAAAGTATAGATGTTAAACGTGTTTCAAAAAAGGTATCTGCTATAGGGAAGACATTAGAAGTCTTTGTTGTCCTCCCTTGGGATACAGTGCCTCTTAAGTGTCGTTAGGGCGTTCAACGTTACTGTTTATCTGCTTTAACGCCACCTGCACTCCATCTTCAGCGCGTGCGGCATCAGTCGCAGTGAGTCTGGTTCACTGGGTTCATGCGGTTCAGCAATGGCAGAGTAATCTCTCTCACCTCACGCCTTTCTACACCTCTCTGCCTGACACAGTTTGATTAATTAGTATTGCAAGCAGCAGAGTGGTGGCCACCATTCCCCTTATGGCTCAAACACACACACAGTCTCTCCCCGCCATTTCTCTTTTACTCCTTCCATCATAATGGTTTTATGGGGCACCAAAACGGCAGAGCAATAATGAAAACGAACAGTGATAATAATAAAGACGATACTTCATTTTTTGATCATTCTCATAGTTTGGGATTTGAAGACAGTTTTTTAGTCAGCAGGTTAAATTCAAAGCTGATGATGTGAAGCTCATTATATAGTCCATACTAATACAGTTATACTACAGAGCCAGTATTGAAATTGTAATCACTTATTTTGCAGCATTACATACATTCTTGGCAGTCAGTTTATTGAAATAAAACTGAAATCGCAATATGGCCTATTGTGATTTTTAAACCACAACAGACTGTGGTTGATTATTTAATTTGATTAAATATACTGTCTGCGTGCGCTGCATGCTTCAAAGCAAAGGAAAGACATTCTTGTTTGTTTGTAGTCTTCTATACATACTTTGGGCTCATCATGCTATTTTAAAGAAAGTAAGTATTTGGAAGTCTTGAGTTTGGTTCTTTTAAAGAGATCAAGTCTCGACACTCTTCAGAGTAACTATTGGCAGATGAATTTGAGCAAAACCTGGTTTAATTTGGCATTGCTAAATGAAAAGGCAGTGCTTTGCAAATGTGTAATTTGCACAACCCCTGTTTAATATAAGAGTTGCTGCTTTGTTTTTGTTATTTACTATTACAGTATTTATTAATATTTAGAATCAGCACTTTTTCAGTTTTAATTTTAGTTTTAGTAATTTTGTTATGTGCTTTTGTCATTTCATTTAGATTATTAGTTAAATATTTCAGTAATTAATAATTATTTCAGCTTATTCAACTTATTTTCAACTTAGTGATTTCATTCAAATTAAAACATTAAAACACAATTTATTTTATTAGCTGTCATGGCAACATTTCAAATTTTTCTTTGTTTTAGTTTTTCCATCTAATTTATATTTTAAAAAATTTACTTAATTTTATTTCAGCTTCATTTCAATTACCAAAACATATTTTAAATAATTGATTCTCTATAATAATTTAAGTTGCCAATAATAACACTGTAGCAACAGCAAGATGAGACATAACATTTTTAGCAGTGCAATTTAAATCAAATGTATCCTATCTCTCTCTCTCTCTCTCTCTCTCTCTCTCTATATATATATATATATATTAGTGGGTTATTAGTATGGTAACCATCTGTTTCCATTCTGTGTGCAACAGGCGGACTTGCTTTTTAAAGTAGCTTACTACACCCTCTATTGGTTCTTGTACAAATTGCAGGCACACAGCTGTAGAATATATATATATATATTTTAATATAGAATGTAAAATGATTTTAGATACTACATTGCTGACAAATTATTCTCACTGGTCATATGATTACAGGCGCAAATGATGTACAAATTAGATTAAAGTTTGCATATGAATCCTCACTGAAACGGTTCTAGGAACAACTTACATCACTATATTTAGTTTGATTTCTTCAAACCATCTAGCAAGCTTCATTTAATGATAATAACAGTTTTTAACCCTGAAACCCTTCATTTAAGTGAGGCTAATTATCAAATGTTGAGGCTAAGAGGTGATTACAGTAGAATTAGTTACCATAGCAATATAATGTTACATTAGAGCTTGTAAATGTTAAAAAATGTAACATTTATTGACCTTAACATCAGACTGACATCAAAACTATGTTAGTTTACTTATTTGCTTCAAAAGCTCATATTTAAGATGCATTAAAATGTTAAGACTCAAGACAATATCTCTGACATAACTGCGATCTACATTTACAGGCATGAGTTCTGACAGAAGTTGAATGTAAAGCTTTAAAACAGTTATTAAATATTCTATTTCATACAATATTTATATTCATAAATATTTCATACAATGTAAACACTTACCATATAGTCTTACTACATGTGTCGTAATAGAAACCTGTGTTGGAATTTAATGTCGTAAATTTGTGAAATAGTATAGTGTGAAATGAAATTAGGACACATTCCTTTGTCTTATACCCATTAGATCCCACTAAAATCAAAGACCAAGAGGGACATGTTTGAATCCAGATCACAGGCGCCTGTAGAAAGACAAGACGTTGTTGCAGTTTGGGCAGCGATGCTCAACATCTTTACATGAATCCATCCAGAAAGGTGCTAGACAACAGGGCCAGCACCTGCAAAACAGACATGAGAATCAGTCGATCACTGTCTGTCCTGTTGACTTTCACTAACTGCTTCCATTCCTCTATAACTCTGTGTTCTTAGTGTCTGCTTGCAGTATTGCAAGACAAAAGGATATGATTTACATAACTTTTTATGTACATTTACATGTCCCATTGAAACTCTCAACAAGCCTACACTGCAAAAAAAAAAAAATGCCGTAGAAGCAATTTTAACACAAAAATTACTAGTAAAATTTACAATAAATTAACGAAGAAGCGGCAAGAAACAAATTGAAATAAACGTGAAATTCTGAAGTGGAAATACTTAACATTTTATTGTAAAAGTTACTTCAATAATCTTTGTTTTATTTAACCTTAAAAAAAAAAATCAGTTTTCAGACAATCAGACAAATGGTAAATTTACACTGCAAAGGTGGCACAGAAGCGCTTCTGAAGTGGCATTTAGGTGTCTTTACACAGATTGTTTAATGCTGCTTAGAAGTGGCATAAATGCATTTACACAGCAGTCACAACTTTATACTTTGATACTAAGGGTTAAGGCAAGTCAAAGCTGGCATAATTTAGTCTAGCTTTTATACAACATTGAATCTTTACACTGGATTTGAACTTGGCTATGTGTAAAGACACCTAAGACTCTTAAAAACAAAGGTTCCAACTTCCAAAAGGGTGTTTTCGCAATGATGCCATATAAAGAACCATTTTTGGTTCCCGAAAGAACCTTTCAGTGAACAGCTCTTAAAAGAACCCTCTTTTTTTTCTTACGAAGAATATTTAAAAAAAATTAAAGAACTTTTTTTTTCCACTATAAAGAACTTTTTGTGCAATGAAATGATTCCATGGATGTTAAAGGTTCTTCATGGTACAATTGATGCCAATAGAGAACTTCTATTTTTAAGAGTGTGTAGTAAGTTCTATGAAATTATCAAGGTGTAAAGAGGAATTTTACCCGATGAGGGCAAGGCAGCCACAGGCCAGCCAGGCCATGAGTCCAGAGTAGTGATCTGTTATAGTGATCACCTGGTGCTTACAGTGAGGGCACATGGTTTGAGCGGGTAAATCACGCAGGCTGGGGAGCATCACTGTGGTTGTTACAGCTGTAATGCACATAAACACAATACATGATCCAGATAAAAAGAAAAGCTGCTGAACTAGTTCTACCATTGTGTAGCATAATTTATCCTTCTCATTTTGGCTGCTAGTAGAAATTGTACTGACAATTGAGCAAATAGCTTTGTCAGTTTTCTTTCTTTATATGTCATTATTTGAACATCAGGCAGAGGAATGGCTTTTGGAAGTTTAAGATATTGAATAGCTCATACAACGAATTGAGTGTAGTATTAGTATTAAAGGGTTAGTTCACCCCAAAATGAACATTCTGGCATCATTTACTTGTTCCAAACACATAAGACTTTGATCTTCAAAACACAAAGTAATATATTTTCAATGAAGCCTGAGTGGTTTCCGTTCCTCCATTGAAAGTGCAGGTAAACAAATCATGATACCCCCAAAAAAGTCATAAAGGCGTTGTACATATTGGAGTGGTCTTGGGAACAGATACAATCACTTTATAATTCAAAAACTTAATTTACATCTGTTCATCAAATAAAGAAATCATATCTCTTCACAACACTTAGATTAAACTGCTCGATTCATATTGATTTGTCTAACGATGTTTTTTTCTTTTCTTTTTTGGATCTTCTAACTTTTCAGTGGAGAAAAAGAAACCTCTCAGGGTTCATTAAAAAAAAGAGTATTTCTTTACACTGTTTTCTGCTGGCGCTTGAACACACTTTCCTTATTTTCTCCACAACAAATGGCCAAGCAAGCGCAGACACTGACAAGATACGCGATACAGAACAAGACCAAACGCAATATCAGCACGTCTCCACACAGTAAACAAAACAAGCGTTTCATAGCAACGACAACTGCACTAAACACTAATGAGACAAGTAAATACACTTACAAGCTACTTTTAACTTCCGCTGATAAAGACTGCTTCTCTCAAAGAGTATTTCTTTACACTGTTTTCTGCTGGCGCATTCTGCTGCTTTATATATATATATATCTTTATATATAAAGATTAACCAATGTTATATGGGTTTAGAACAACACAAGAGTGAGTAAATTATACCAGACATTTCATTTTTAGTTGTTTCTGAAGCTTTCCTATACTGAGTGTCTGAGCTCAATAGTTGAAAATTTTAACTTACTGGTAGTTTTAGGATACATCCCAGGGTTTGGAGCTATAGAGAAAGATTTCAAAAGGATGTTATTGCACTGATATCAGTTACTGACAATAGATAGTAATTTGGGGTATTATGTACTGAAATAACTGTTTGAGATTGATAGTTATAAACTGTAACTTACTGTTAGCTTGAGGATACATCCCAGGGTGTAGACCTTTAAAAACACATTTAAAAATATTGTCATTGCACTGATATCAGTGGTTGACTATAAATAAAGTAGTAAGTATTCATTAGGAGCTTTTCTACTGTTTGAAACGGCAACTTACTGTTAACCTGAGGATATATCCCTTGATTTGGAGCTTTAGAAAAAGATTTTGAAACAGTAAAAGCTGTCACTGACAGTACATAAAGTTTGTTTTCCTTCATTTTATCATAAACATGATTACAACAATAAACCTCATTTGTCAACATGCACTTATATATCATCTGATCAAAATGTTATTTTAAATTACAGGGTAATTTGTGAAAAGACATGATTATAATAATCATAGAAAACAATGAAGCCATATATATTGTTCTCACTAGACATATATTACCCATCAACATATGAGTAGAAACAAGAAAAAGATGCCTTGCATATTCAGATCCTAAAAGCTATTTCCTCAACAAGTGCCAACATTTCAAATGTTACAAAGTTGTTTTTAGACTTAGCGTGAACTAGTCTTTAACACCAGTAGAGCATGAAGGTTCACATTTGTGTGTGTCTGATATGATCAAGCGATGGCTCAAGTGCTTGCTTTTTAGAATGTAATGGCCACGCCTTCTCATGAATAATAATGAGTTACCACAGTATGTGTGTTTAAATCCAGTTCAGATCTATTATGTATTCAATTGGCTTTTATTCACAGACACTACAGATTATTTTCTTCTCAATAAGGGGACATGGTTTTCAATAATTCAATATTTGGTAAAAACATAGCATGCCGAGATATTTATAAGCAATTTCTTGTAAACTGGTCATTTTTTGACCAGGAACACCACAAGTGTATCAAGGTGGGGGTGAAAAATCTCAAAAAGGTACAAAAATTATAGTTTTTGGGGAGAAGTTGTTACATCCTCTCAGTGGTGGACAGTAACGGAGTAGTTTTACTTCGTTACTGTACTTAAGTACATTTTTCAAGTATCTGTACTTTACTGGAGTAGTTTTATTTTGAGTAACTTTTACTTTTACTTCACTACATTCCAAAGCATAAGATCGTACTTTTTACTTCACTACATTTCATAAAACATATCGTTACTCCTTATAATATATCACGTGCTCTGACACGCAGAAGCGGTGTCTAATTCAAGAACGAACTGATTATTTTCAATGAACCTTTTAAATCGGTTCGCAAATCGCACCAAACGATTCATTCACGAATTGAAATGATCCGATTGCAGCTGTTCTCGAGTCGACAACTCACTGATTCAAATGAACCATTTAGTGCGGGTCTCCAGTGAAGTGAATTCACAAGTAAGAACCTTGGGCCGGTTGCACCAGCTAGACGTAAACAATCTGGTGAACTGTTTAGTGCGAGTCTCCAGTGAACTGAATTCACAAGTAAGGCTGTGTCCGAAATCGCCCCCTATACCTTAAATAGGGCACTATTTGAGGGAACAGCCATTTTTTGTGGTGTCCGAAACCATAGTGGACGATCTCGAGTGCACTCATTCAATCCCACAATGCACTGCAAAAACGAGTGTACAACTGGTGCAGGCTCAACGGCTAGAGAATGCCCATAATGCACCGTGAGAGTCACGCGCCGAATGAATTCCCGCATCTCGCCAGAAGATGGCGCCCGCAGCTGATATAGATTACATCTGGGGCAAAATAAAGGATGTGCTGTTCAGAACATGGTAACTACAGTAATTAACAAAGTGGGAAGTGATGCCCTCTGGGGGCATTTGGCCAGGGGTGTTTTTACACCACAGACAAGGTTTGAGAAGAAAAAAATCATTATGAAAATATAATTATATTTTCCTTAAAAACTTCAGGCCTTATTCTCATGTCATATAAAACTGTGATGTTCTGCAAAACAACAAGCTTTGTTTATATTTTAAAACACTTTTTTCTTACTGGTGAAAATCAGATGATCAGACCTGTTTTCTCTCAGGTACATCGCAGTGTAAGCTTCACAGTGAACATTACTACATCACTCTCGTCAACATAGTCCATATCAACAACAAAAATATATCTTGACTCCATAAAATGGTTATTTTTCGAAAATCCCAGGTATTTTGAGCAGTAGGATTATAAAAAAGATGTGCTGATATTAAATTAAGTAGCCTATATAAAATTGCAAAATAAATCTATCAGTACTTTTTTACTTAAGTACATAAAAAATCAAGTACTTTTGTACTTTCACTCGAGTAAAATTGAAAAAGGAGATGGCGCCCGCAGCTGAATAATCAATCCGTTCATTTTTACAAAGCGCTCATCCATGGCGTACAGCATAATGTACAACACGGGTATAAATTCATTGTAAATTGATTATTAAATTGTTTGATTAGGGTTTATACGTAATTTCCGTGACAGAGTTCAAGATAAATCCTTTAATCTTGCTACTGGAGCTGCTAGTTTGCTAGTTTCAAATGATTAATAAACAGCAAGCACAAACTATGCAAAAGCGGCATTTTTTCCGGTGCACTCAGTGTCCGAATTCACTACTCGTTTTCATTCACTCCTTCTAAGTGAACTGAATTAGTGACCTAATGTAGGGAATAGTGAATGAGGGTATAGGGGGCGATTTCGGACACAGCCAAAATGTTATTGCAGACTATAAAAAATCGAGTACTTTTGTACTTTCACTCGAGTAAAATTGAAAAAGGAGTACTTTTACTTTTACTGGAGTAATATTTTATTATACGTATCTGTACTTTTACTCAAGTACTTGATTTGTGTACTTCGTCCACCACTGCATCCTCTTATTAAAATCGTCTCTGGGTCAGAGTGACTGCAGTACAACATGAGGGGTTAAGAAATGTACCAAGTTTATCCAAAGAAACATACCTCCCTGAAAGTTTGGATTAACTCCCGGCTCTGAGTACGAGGTGTATCCCATATAAATATTGGGATATGGAGATGAATTGTATCCTGGGTTGTGGGTCATTTCTTTTCCTACGTAATCTGCTGGATGGCCTGGGTACGGTGGAGCAGATTCAAGAGCTTCAATGGTTTTCAAAGCCTCTATATCCTCCATATCCTCCAGATATTCCACCGTTTCCAACTCATCCAAATCAGCTTCTCCGGCCTTATCCATATTCTTAGTTCCTTAAGCAAAAAAAAAAAACTTAACAGAAGCACACAGAAAATGAGGCTCACTGTCGCTTTAGGTGTGTGGACTACTTGAGTCCCAATGCAAATGCCAGCAAAACAAATGTTGACAAGACTTATTCAAATCTCTACAGTCCATCCAAATTTCGTTCCGACATGGAAATGCTCTGTTTGTGAAGCATTTTGCACTGATTTTCCTTTTGGTCATGGAAACAGACCTTGATTTTCCACCACATCATCAAGACCAGGAACTGAAGACATATGACGTAGCTTGTAAAAACCAAGCTGTAGAGCTTCTCTCTTCCATTTGAAAATCAAATGGACTTATTTCTGAACGCAGAATTTTCACCTTGTTTACATTTACAATTATGAAATGTTGTTGAGTCTCTAATAACAAAACTGTTAAATGTATAATTATTCATACATGTGAGAAGCTGCTGAGAATTGAACAAATAGTTGTAACCTGACTTTGTTTGTGGCAGTTTTTCTGGTGATTAATCGATAATATACTTACAAATGCTATGAAATGCATCATACTTTGTGGAAAAAGTGTGATGCACTAGAGGGATTTCTGGAATCAGCACCCCAAAATTTGTAAGAAACAAGTATTGGATTTTATTCAGCAAATATGATGCAGGGCAATGTTATAGACTAATAAGCCTAGAAAAGAAATGAGACTTACACCATATATTTTTGTGTTGTAAACTAGTGACTACAGTAAACTACTTCATGAAAACAATTAACAGAATGAAAACAATGAGTCAGTGCAATAACTGATTTCCATTTAGTGGCAGACAGGAAAGCTACAAAATTGCTTATACGTTTTTTATGGATTACCAATTCAGGAACAGTGTTGCCTCACAGACTTTGATTCTCATGCAGGTCATGAATCAACTTTCATTAGTCTTCAGTAGCATGACTCTTTTTTCATTCACACTAACAATAAGCAAACAAAGACAGAAAACGGAGCTCTCAGCCACAGGTGCTGAATGCATTTTCAATTTTAACGTAACATTGTGTATAATTATATAAGGAGTAACTGACAATGCACCATTGAATCATTGAAATGAACATAGACTAACTGTCATATCTGTTAACTCTTGGTCATTAGATTATATCTAATTGCCTTGGCTCAAAACCACCAAAGGTTTCACAGATATCTGGATCTTCATCTTTATCTCTTTCTCTCCCTGATTAAATCTGCTTCCAGATCAACTTACCTACAGGAACGCAAGGTCAGTGAGATTTGAGGTTGATGTTGTATTTCCTTGAAGACCAGATGAAACTGAGTTCAGGAATAGAAGAAATGGGTGTGTATGAGTTCTAGAGGAGGGTGAAGAAAGGAAGCAAAAAGGGAGGATATTTTAAACAGAATTCAAACCAAATATGCTTCGGATGATGATTATTATTTGGTGGCTGAATAGACTAATTCATCAGTCAGACTTGATTTAGGTTGACAGTGTTGAAATGCAGTAGTGAACTTTATCCAGAAGGACTCTATCACACATTACTTCTTATTGTGAAATCTAAAAATCTACTTTTTGGCTTGTTTGTTGTTTATTTCGTCTTAAAGTGCTTCTTCTATACTGCACACCGCTGACTTTTGTTAAAATGGCTATTATGTTCTGAGGTTATGTTTTCATGCTTATATGCATCAGTTTGGTTTTCTTGAGCCTTGTCGTGCCATTAGATTTGCTGCGTGCAAGAGTAGTTTGAATATCTTTGCATTCACAAACTGGTTGATGACAGAATTAGTGAAAGAAGTGAATGTAGTGATCAGTGATCTTACAAACATATACTGTATTTCGAATCTTTTTTATAGCCTTCGTATGTATTATTATTACCATTTTCACACTTATGTGCCTGTGTGTCTAGATAGATAGAGAAGTAGTCGCACTACTACTCAATGCGTTACTGTTTAAAATTAAATAAATGTTTAAAATCATTACATTTCTTTAAGGCAGTTACCGCACATTCATTCAGCCATTTTAAACACTGGAATACTGCTCTTACGAAAATTAACCACAAATAAAACCAAAAAATTGCAGTTGTAGTTAAATCATAGTAACCACACATTAACCCGGGTTTTGCTATACTAATCATAGCTTAACCATGGCATTTGTAGTAAAATTGTGGTTATACAAATGGTAATCCACAAAAAAAAACATGGCTACTACACTTTTATCATAGTAAAACCATGGCTAATTTTCGTAAGGGTGTTTATCTGTCAAATTCATTTACAACTGTAAATTCAACAAGTATGAAATATGATCAGTAAGAGAAAAATACTGTTAATGAGAAGACAAGAGCTGTACTGCGGCAGGTTAGTGGGGAAATATATTTATTTATTATTCAGAATGCACATTTGGAAGGGAAATATATTTATAGGAACATTTCAGCAGGTTGACGATAATTAATGTTAATGCAGAGAATATGATTAATTGTTTAAAAAAAAATTTGCCAGCCCTAAAACATACAAAGGGAGTTCTATTTTACATTCAATTCTGTATTGATAATGCCACTGTGGATAAATGCATATAGATTTTTCCCAACCAGAAGCCCTGGATGAACAGTCAGGTCCGCACACTTCTCAGAGACCGAGATGCTGCCTTCAGGACAGGTAACAAAACTCTATACAGTGCTGCGAGAGCAAAGCTGTGGAGAAGGATCAAAGAGGCTAAGGAGGTCTACAAGAAGAAGACAGAAGATCATCTCTCTGGAAAAGACTCAAGGTGGATGTGGCAGGGCATACAGACCGTCACCAATTTCAGGGGCTGTGCTACTACTGCAGGGACTAATCACTCTGCCCAACTGGCAGAGGAGCTGAACTGCTTCTTTGCATGTTTCGAGGCAACCTAGCAAAATACAGTCTCGTCACTTCGGCCTATACCAGCAGGTAACACCCACGCACTCACTTTACAGGAGCATGAGATGAGAAGGGTGCTCAGGTCAGTGAACTTGAGAAAAGCAACCGGCCCTGACGGGGTACCTGGGAAGGTACTCAGGTTATATATATATAGAAGGTTTGCTCCAATATCTTCAATCAGTCCCTGACACAAGCCATCATACCACGCTTCCTGAAGTCAGCTACCATCATACCAATCCCCAAAACAACCTTGTCGAGCAGTCTTAATGACTAACACCCAGCTGTGGCACTTACACTGGTAATCATGAAATGCTTAGCTCTAGCTATATGCTATAGCTCTAGCTCTAATCTACACACTGTTCTGAGTCATCTGGAAAAAACAGGGAAGCTATGTCAGGATCAGTGTTGGGCAGTAACTAGTTACTAGTAACTTAGTTACTGTAATAATATTACTTTTTGCAGTAACTAGTAGTGTAACTAATTACTAATAAGATTTCAGTAATAATAATCAAGCGTAGCGTTAGTTCTGGCAGGTCACGTTAGTCAAGCTCGCATCAGCTGACTCTCAGCTGATCCCCATCTACCTATGGGAATACGACACCTATCTAAGTATTCATATATAAGGTCCCGCAGTAGTATCAGCAGTTTTCGCATTGCTCAATAGCTAATTACCCTCCTCCATCCCCAACTCCTCCTCTGTCAGTCGGGATTCAGTCTTCTGATTTTTTTTTTAATCAGACTAATTCTAAAATGTGTACATAAATTATTGAATTTTAACGATATCTGCAATACATTTATGTCGGTTCTGTTCTGTTTACCCTGGGGGGCTTATCGCTGCTCTCCCTGCTCTCATCCATGCTAGGCTGTATGGATGCGCAGGGAGTTCTTGCCCAGAACAGAACCATACCGCCAATCCAAACTGTATGCTAATTGTCAATCATCTTTGACGATAGTGGTCCTGACAGAATTACAGTTACCATCCATAAAACAACTTAGTTACTTAAGATGCCTCAACCCCGCTGATTTAAAATCCAACAATCAAATAATTCCGGATGCTGTTCATTGATTATAGTTCAGCATTTAATACCATTATTACTTCAGTCCCAATTCTCTGTAATTGAGCTCATCCATGGCTTGCTCCGTCTGATGATCTGACCGGTGTGAGAGACAGCTGGAACAAACAACCACTTCCTGATAATCCAGAGAGGTTTGATGAGTGTTTCTGTGTTCTGGGTTCAGAGGGTTTTAACTCAGGAACACACTGCTGGGATGTGGAGGTTAAAGGGAATTCATACTGGATTCTTGGAATAACTACAGCATCAAACCACAGAAAGCGATGTGTTTTCTTTGACACTGATGTCTGGTGTGTGTGGTATGGATTGTATGAACTATGTGAGAGTTCATCTGGACTATGACAGAGGAATGGTGTCATTCTCTGATCCTGTAACTAACACACATCTACACACATTCACAATCACCTTCCCTGACACTGTCTTTCCTTTCTTTGAAACTGCTTCTTCTCTGAGGATCTTACCATTCAGGATTTAGTAAATGCTACACCTGGATCTTCTGCTTTAATATTTTCCAGTCATCATGTTTCTAATATTTAATCCATATCATATGATTAAGAGTGTTGTTAATCTGAATATCAGCACTACAGACACACTGACAGAGACATATTGCTGAATGTCTGGTGGGAGTGAATGCTGGTGCGAACTGCTGTCGCTGCTGTTTACGGGCATTTTGATTGTTTGATGGTTTAATCATTGCTGTATATGACAGCAACACAATGATTTCTCGCAGCTTAATCAAACTGTTCTTCCTGGGTTTGTTTATACCTCCCAACCTTGAGCCTCTGGTCGAGGAGGAGGGCTTGTGATACTCTGTAATGGGAAGTGGTACATTTCTCCTATAACGGTGTCTCTGCATGAATCATTTGAGTCCACTGTCTTACAAATCAATGGGCTGATAGATAGATAGACAGATAGATAGATAGATAGATAGATAGATAGATAGATAGATAGATAGATTCCAATTTTAACCACTAGGTGTCACTGTCAACTATAATTAATGCTTTCCAGCCTTGCCATGACATTTTACAAAGCCTATACTCGAAGATGAAACAGAATTTGTATTGTTTACAATATTTCCATTCTATGACACTACCTTTTATACCAGTATTGTATAATGTGCATGAAGATTATGTCTGTGCTATGAGCAGATGAGAATAATCAGTCTAGATATTCCGTTTCCCTTCCACTTTGTGCAAAAAGATAAAAAGCCTACATTAAGACAGACTACATATTCTGTCACACCTCTGAAACCAAATGAATGTGTCTGGCAGGAGTTGCATTTTAATTAATTTTTATGTTGTGAAATCAGAGATAAGTCTGAAAAACAGCTGGAAAAATGACTCTTTGTTATTGTCTTTTTGCATTATTGACAAACTGTTTTCCTGTTTGACACTGTAAAGCTGCTTTGACACAATTAGTATTGTATAAAGTGCTATACTAATAAACTTGACTTGACTTGATAGTCGTCAGTAGATTCATCGGCCATCTAACACCCTTTACCGTCTCTGTTCCCTTTACTGTTGATTGTGGTGGTGGTAACACTTTAGAATAGGGATCACATATTCAGTTTTCCCTGAACAAACTCCTAATTTGCTGCTTATTAGTAGTAAGGTAGTTGTTAAGTTTAGGTAAGGGGTGGATTAAGGGATCTAAAATATGGTCATGCAGAATAAGGCATTATGTGCTTTATAAACAGCCAATATAATATGCATGCTAATAAGCAACTGGTTAATAGTGAGAACTGGTCCTTAAAATAAAGTGTTACTGTGGTAACTAACTGAGTAATTGCCAATTCTAATTCTTTATCTTCCCATAAATTGCCAATACAAAACAACAGACTAGAATATATTTTCCAATTACAAAATCTTTTTATGGCCACTAGATGTCACTGTTAGATAATAACTGTAAGCCTCCAAGGTTTACTTTTATTATCCATGCAGATTACAATGTTTCCTTGAAATACTAAATTAAATTAAATTAAAGCACACAGGAAAGCCACAGAATTATTATAATAATTTTATATTGATACAAATTTGGTTATAATGCATCACACTTCTTACAAGCGAAACAAATATAAAACTGATATTGCATGTTCGAGTTCATGGAAAGATAGTAATGTTTACATAAAACACATTTTTTCTGCTTACATTTATATAGGCTCCATCACAGTGTAAATAGTAAGTGCGGTAAACAGTCATGTATTTTGACTTACTGTTGTTTGTTAACACATTTGCTTGCTTGAATACATTTTGGAGGGGAAAGACAGTGGCATATGATCTTTCGGTTCTTGTTGAGATGGAAACTCAACAGTTCATTGTTTTTCACATCAGACCATTCAGTCCAGGATCAAATCGTTT